CTCTCTCTCTCTTGTATGGTGTGTGCGTGGTTGTGTGTGTGTGTGTATGTTTGTGTGAGTGCTGCTTTTATAACTGAAACTCATCTAATCTATCAATTATTAAATGCACTTGTAGCCCAGTTTTTTTTCTTTCCTCTATTCTACAATTAAATCTAGCAATTACATTATTACTCACAGTTTCTAAGTACTGTAAAGGATTCCACTGAAACCATTTGGCAAAAACCTTATCATTCAAATCCTTTACCCTATATAAATCAATAACTTTGAGACCTGTAGCATGTCTTACGATGTAACCCACACACTCTGCAGAGGCCAAGCACTGCATCTAAAAATAAAGAAATCAAATTAGATTAATGTCAGAAAATACCTAATTCAATAAAATATTCGAATCACTTACTTTTAATTTCTTAAGTTTTACAAAAGGTTGAGAATTAGGAGGGCGTGAAGGTATTCTTAGGGGCTCTCCACATAACCAAAGATTTTCTAAATTTATACAATACATCCCCAATTGCCCAACGTCAATACCATTTGTGGTCAACTGAAAATTCAAATAAATAATCATACATTACTGACAAAAACATTTTCACTCCAATTACACTTTGAATCTTTCCTACTGAAGATCCCCGAGAGACACATTTATCACACACACACAAATCTAATCTCTATATTAGCAATTATTTTGAATTAATACCGTTGGCAATCATTACAGAGCACTTGAGCTCATTTTAAATTACAAAACCACTGCTGCAAACACAAATTGATTGTGCCACTACTTACTAATTTATCAATATTAGATTTACACAAAAACACATCAAATTATTAAAATGAAAATACCATTAATAATTATCAAAATGCACATACTAATACCTTCAAATCAATCAACTGGGGAAGAAGAGTAGTACATGCGAGGAAAGCTTCAAATTCCACGTTTTCTAAAGTCAAATTTTTAAGATGTTTGTATGTCATTAACTGCAACAATACAACAGATAATTTTAAATTTAAACATCAAAATAAATTAACAAATTATTTTTTGGTAGGTTAAGATTCACTATTTAATGATTTCTTACAGATTTTGGATGTAGAGATTAAAAACAATCTTCATACACAAAATAACAAGCACACAATGGTTTGAAATAGTTAACTTACTACAAAAACCATGTAGAGGTACCTTTTAATAAAGATCAAAGAAAAGTTAAAAAAAAAATGAAATGGAAAGCATTTGTTTGGTATTAATAGCGTTGATTTTCAATTATTCAGCAATACCTTAAGTATGTCGTAGATACAATACAGGGGGTAGGATCAATACAAGGAAGATCATCTAAAATAATATAAAGCAGTGATTCTAAGCCTAATGATTAGGGAATGTATTTTCATGTAAATACATATATTTACAGGAACACAATAGCTGCATTCAAAAATATTTTTAGAGCTTACAGAACATTATGAATGAAATAGACCTAATTTTATTTTACATATTTTAAAATATTTTGGTGTAATTACATATTTTACCTATTACTACATATTTAATTACATTTTAATATTTATACATCAAAACTGAACATTACAGATGTGAGTTCGCAATATACTATGTTACAGATTTCATCTTTCTTACAAAGCAAGGCAACATGCTTCTATGACCACCAGTCCTCCTTATGAATTGTCAAACGTATTCCTCCCCTGCTTCTCGAAAATCACGTACTCAGGTTCAAAGGTGAGCAGATGAACATGTGAAGCAGAAGTAATATCGACATCAGGCTTGCTCAGGCTTCATAAACCCCATGCGTAATTTGAAAAAAATAGAAAAGAAAAAAACAAATAAAAAATCTTAGTTGATTTTTCTTGTCGCACTGTTGAAGTAGACCGGGATGGATGTCCTCCCCCACCTCCGGGATCCATCATTGACAGCACGGCACTACTGTTCCCTTGAGCACCATCTCCTCGTGAATAGTGTATACAGGACGAACTTATTTTATACAGCTGTACAATTACTTCAGTATATATATATAATATTTATTTGGCTACAATTGGTGGTAGCCATCACCCTACAGTTTTACAATATATGAACATTTATAATTCAAAAACAATTTACCATATAAAAACAATTTACAATACACTCCTTTCGAGTATATACACTCAATATATAAATATACACAGACCAGTATACATCTATGGCACACACACCACACACAACTGGCCTCTGTAACACGGGGGCCAGTCCGACCTTTGTAATGAATGGTTGCAGCTCGGTCGTTGACCTAACTTTCGTTTGTAAAAGCCTTGCTAGATGTATTGTATCATGGGAGGTTAGTGCACATTATACACATAGTTACCACCAAGCTATTGTCTATGAAGTGAAAGAGCAGTGCAAGTTGAGCCCACCAAAGGGTAGAAGGAAAGCTGTTTGGAACCACAGGACGTTCGATCGTGATTCCTTCATTGCCATGATGGAGGGCAACCCTGAAGATATGTTGGCCGGTGACTCTGAATATATTGTAGAAACCGTAATGAATCAGGTATTTGACGCTTGTGATGCGTCAATGACAAAAGGTCCAAGGAGAGAACGCCGTCCTCCAGTGTACTGGTGGACTGACGAGATCGCGGAACTTCGCAGGGAATGCCACCGAACACGTAGATTGGCACAGCGCGCCTGGAGCCGCCCAAATTATGACTTTCTCAAGAAGCAACATATGGACGTCAGAAGAGCTTTCACGAAAGCTATTAAGATTAGTAAGTGTCGTTGCTGGAAAGAGCTAGGGGAGGAGGTGGATGCTGACCCCTGGGGTCGTCCGTATAAGCTGGTAACGGCCAGACTCTCGGGTATGTTCAGGCGACCACCCACTTGCCCGGTTTTCTTGGCAAAAGTTGTAGCTACCTTGTTTCCTTGCCAGGTAGATGTTACAACCGAAGGATCGTCTGGAAGATCTAAGCGAGGTTCCGGCAGTCACGTTGGATGAACTTTCCAGAGCTTGCGGCAAGGTCCAAGACTGCAAAGCCCCCCGGATTAGATGGGGTACCATATGTAGCAATTAAGACCGCTATTAAGACTCGGCCCGGCCCGATCTATTCTTATGGGCATATAACGCATGCATACGAGAGGGAAATTTCCCCCGTCGATGGAAGCAGCAACAGCTAGTCCTTCTTCCGAAGGGCGATAAGGCACCTACTGATCCGGCAGCCTATCGGCCAATATGCTTACTGGATACAACAGGCAAAGTGTTAGAGCGGATCATCTGCAATAGTATTGTGTCATTTACAGAGGAGCCTCAGGGATTGTCTGATATAGTACGGCTTCAGAAAAGCGAGATCCACGATAGATGCAACTAAGGTAGTCATCGACATCGCACGCAAGGCCATTGAAGGCAAACGATGGAAAGGAGGTCCTATGAAGTATTGTGCTATAGTGACCCTAGACGTGAAAAACGCCTTTAACACAGCAAGGTGGAGCTCCATTCTTTCTGCGTTACTAACTCTTGGAGTTCCAAGGTACATCTCGAGCTTGGTCAAAAGTTACTTTAAGGAGAGAATCCTCCTATATGAAACTGGGACTGGAGTACAATCTTATACGGTCACAGGCGGTGTCCCACAAGGCTCGGTACTTGGTCCGATGTTTTGGAACATTATGTATGACGCCGTGTTGAAGCTCGAGTTGCCGGAAGGCGCAAGAACTATTGGATTCGCGGATGATGTTGCAATTGTAGTTGTCGGCAAATACATCGAACAAGTCACGCAGGTTGCCAACGAGGCTGTGGCGGAGATCCGGCGGTGGCTTACGACGGTAGGGCTACAGATGGCCGCGCATAAAACAGAGGCTGTGCTGGTGACGGGCAGAAAAGTTGAGAGAGAGTATTACTCTTAATGTAGGAGGCTGCAAAATATTCTCGCAGCTGTCACTGAGGTATTTAGGAGTGCAAATTGACGCGAGACTGCGCTTTGACGAGCACCTGTCTTCGAGAAAGCGTCTCGTATGGCATCGGCATTGGCACGCATTATGCCTAAAGTAGGGGGTCCTGAGCAAAGAAGCCGGAGGCTGCTGACTAGCGTAGTAAATTCCATTCTTCTCTACGCAGCCCCTATTTGGGCTGATGCCATGGGCATTCAGTCATACGCCCGTGGGGCTAAGTCGGTGCACAGAAGGTCCGCCTTGCGGGTTGCTCGAGCGTTTCGCACCGTATCCTATGATGCTGTGTGTGTGTTAGCAGATATGCCTCCGATCGACCTCATTGCGCAGGAGAGAGCTAGACTCTATTTGCGCAAGCGGGAGGGGGCTTCAAACTGGAATACCATCACGAAAGAAGAGAGGGGGGTGACAATGGACCAATGGCAACGACGATGGGAGCAATCATCAACTGGGCGATGGACATTTCGGGTCATTCCCGACATCATGACGTGGATCCAAAGGGAACATGGAGAATTAGATTTTTATCTAACTCAGTTGCTGACAGGGCATGGATGTTACCGAGAGTATCAGCTCCGATTCCGGTTGGACGATAGCTCCTCATGCCCAAGGTGTTTCCCGGTGATTGAAGATGTAGAACACGTGTTCTTTCATTGTCCATGCTTCGCAGTGGAAAGGGAGGAACTTCACAGACTCCTCCAAGAGGAAGTGACCCCAGAGACCATCGTCACTAGGATGCTGATGACACAAGAGTATTGGAGTGCGGTAGCCACCTATGCCGCAAAGGTCCTGAAGACGCTCCGCTCCGAGGAGCAGTTACGAAGAAGTGTCCCGTAATATGTCGGTGAAGTGCGAAAAGCCCATCCTTCCTTCTCGCGATGCAATGCCTGAGGGTCCGCGGGAAGAAATAGGAGGAAAGGGAGGAGTTTTTAGTGGGTAGGCATAGGCTAGCTATGAATCCCACACACTGTGGGTTGCGGGCCCCGCAGTGTCTTTAGAAGATTTTCCCCTGCCCCCGTAAAAAAACAACACACGCACACAAAAAAGTTTCTTTCATTCGCTCGAAATCCACGATATGATCTATTGATGACGTTCTGTGCAAGCAAAATGCTTAGAAGAGTCATTTTAAACTCTATAATATTTATCTTGAAGGTGATATTTTGAATACTATAATATTTATCTTGAAGGTACTATTATTTATCAATATTCTATAATCGTTTTTTAACATATTTTCTATTTTTTCTTACATATTTTGGAAAAAAATAGTTACATATAAATGTACATGTTTTACCTTTCTTATTGCAATTAATACCTATCCTTAATAATGATATATTGCAGACTAATATGCTTTTCAAAAATAAGGACCACGATCTAAAACATTAATGATATTGAACCAAGAAGTCATGATTGAAGTCAAGAAGTAATCAATTTTATTGCTGCTTGTTACAATTCAAAATATAAAAACGTGTTCTTCCAATTATATTTACATTTGTTAGTAAAATATAACATCTTAACAATTAACAAGTCGTTAACCCAGCAGACTTGCACCAAAATATCCGAACTGGAACGCTTGCACTGGTTCTGTGAGACCATGCGACAGCTTTTTATTTGTGAGAGAAACCATGGGAATTGTATACATTTTAAATGAATACTTATCATTTATATTGTATTTGGTGTACATTTATTACATACAAATCTGAAAAAAGTATACATAAATTTCAGATAACTTCAATGCACATGGCCATGTGCAAAATTACTAGTGAAGTTCAAAATTTTTGCAAATCAGCAGAAAACTTATTTGATACAACTTTGTAAGGAAATTACTGAAAGCATAAATAAAGCAATTTTTAAGTAATATTTAATAGGAAAACATCTTTGTTCTGGCATCTCTGACAAACCTCTGACAGGCCTCTTTATCCCATCTTTGGAATGTGTATAATTGTGAAACCAGTAAATTTTAACTGTCTGTAACTCTCGCTCAAATAAAACTTGAAATGTTGCTTGATACGACACAAACAGTCTGGTCATTTCTGACAAGTTCAAGAATCAGATTCTTGAAAAATAGTGGTCTACAAACTTACAAGTTATGATGCAATTACAATCTACAAAAGAATAAAATAAATACACATAAAAACAACAAACAATTTAGTGAAATTTGTCATAATATCATCTCAAATGTCTAGCACAACTATAAATAGCACACATTTTAACTATGTCAAACTCCTTCCTCTCCGCTATTGTTTTTTTATGGTCATTACTGCTCTCATCTTCTCTTCCCTATAAAATATCTTAACATTCTACTTCACCTCTCATTCTACATATTCAACTACGCCTAGGGTTGCCACACATCCTGAAAAAGTGGGATATGTCCTGAATTTTAACATGTTACCTGCTCTCCCATAATTTTTTTCTTTGTTTCTGCAAAATGTTCTGAATTTTTATTATACTCTGTTATACATTTTCATACTTATACAAAAAAGCTGCTTTTTGGGACTACTTGTGAACTATGTCACAGAACTATGCACTACACAAGAGAATGCAAATGGCTAATACTTTTGTTAAGCAAATTTTGTTCTTTTTGTCTTTTTACAGTGTAATATGAAATCTGAGAAAATAGACAAAGTGCAGTGTAATTTGAAACGAAGTACATCTGTCTCTCACAATGTGTTAGTGCAAGAGAATCTGGAATGCAGAAATTAAAAGGGCACAGTCAATAACAGGGTTTTATAATCAATGTAATTCTTTATTTAATTTTTAATTTAAATATCCTGAACTATTTCACAAATTTTGTCTTGGAAAAATAAGGAAATAACCTGGAAAAGCAGAAGAAATTGTCCTAGACAAAGAGTGGTAACCCTGTTATTCTTGAAAGTGTGAAATGTATGTTTATCTTCATTTACTATTTAGTTTTTTACTTGATATACTATTTAGTTGAGAAAAAAAAAATTTGCTCTGAAACATTTTTGGGATGTCATGAATTCCATTGTTATCCTTATGGTAACCCTAATTCCACCCTCACCCTCCCAAGAAGCTGACGTTCCCTTAACAGCCTCTTCATGAATTCCATTCCATTAAAATATATTTTTCAGTTAATTAAAAAGCAACTCATAATATGATAAAGTTATAATGGATACAGCTAAACCTCGCTAGAATAGTAAATACTCATTGGAACTAAACCGTATTATCAATCCGTATTTTCAATAGGACCTAGCATCTCTCTAAACATTTATTTCCAAAGCCTGTTAAGAAAACATCATTTATAATGTAATAATGTAACTAAGATATAAGACGGTACTGGGAACAGCACATGACTATTGCACAGGCTTCTATCGGAGAAACAATGAATTTATCTTGGTCTCAACGACCCAGTGGGAACTCTGCCAGGTTATCACATTTAATCCTGAGGGCTTCATGGTTTCCTATTACTCAAAATGTTGTAAATAAAAAACTATAATAAACATCAGTTTGAAATCGATAACATCTTGTAGTTATTGTCTTTTCTTCAAGTGAGAATGTATTTTATTGTCATTTGATCATTAGATAGAAGTGAGAATGGAATTCAAAAAGCATGTTTTCAATGTTTAATTTTTCTGGACAGATACAATGTTAAAAAATATGGGGAAAAACACAGTGAATGAACTTCATCTGACAATAATACTGGTGCACTATAATTATATTTTAAGTTCAGAAATTGTTTTTATTTGCATCTGTTTCTGTCTATTTTTAGAAATACACTGTGGGAAAAAATAATGAAAAATAGTTAGTTTAGTTGTCTTCAGAAAACTTTAGATCACTGCCTTTCTCAAACACTGGTTATTCAGAATGTCCACTATTCTAAAGGAAATGAAATCTCTTGAACTTGAGAAAACTCACTATTAGAATAATTCATCCATTATCACTCTCCTTGATATCAATTCCATTGCTCAAACTAGTCAACAGTCCAGGAAGAAAATGATCATCCTCATCAGGAGAATCCGATTCCAATCCACTACCAAAATCTCTTGAATTTATAATGTTGAAAATTTGATATCTGTGTATGTCCTCTAAACACCTGTACATGTTGCCAGCTGCACAAACACTACTTACAAAGAAAAAAACATTCTGAACAGAATCGAAAATGTCCACAATCATGAATTTCTAATCTCTTCCAGGAAAAAATTGCCAATACTTGCAACAAGTATCAGTATGATACTTGTTGGTGACGACTGTCCTGTCATATTCTTAGCAACATTAAGAAGTATATTCTAGGTGCCTATGAATGTCCAAGAAATGTTTATAGCCAGTCACAGATAAATATAGAAGAATATATGACGTGCATCTACAGAACATAGCAGTAAAATAAAGAAAACATCAAACACACTCTTAGGATCGAAAGTGTTAACTGGCAAATTAAAATACCGTGTTAACTGGCAAATTAAAGTACTGCACAAAATATTTCAATTAATTATACGGTTGTCCTGTTTTCAAGAAACCCTACTCTACCTATTATATACAAGTCCTTGGGTCAAAATCAGATATGATTTTGCGATGAATTCTACTTTCATCTTCAGACCCCAGAATCATGTTTATTCATAAAATAGTTTCATAAACTATTATTTATTCATGCAAATGGTTAAAAATCTTAATGATTCATATCAGAACATTCTCAGAAAGAAAGAAGACAGGTTGCAATACCAAAACATCCTCAGAAAAGCCAACCAAAAAATGGTTTCAACTTGAAATAACTGAGGGATATAAAAAAAATACTTACGCTAGGAGCTAATTCTCTATGTTTGTAGTTTCCTATATTCAAAGTGTCTAAATTAGGGCAACAATTGGCTAAGGTTCTCAATTTATTGTGAGATGGTCCATAATATTTAGCCTGCAAAAAAAAAGCTGCAGTAAGTTGCGAATCTAAACACAACCATACATGAAATATATGGTATAATTTATACCTGTGTAATTTTTAATGGAACAGGGGGTTTTGCCTTTGTTCCATAAAGAAATTTAAGACCAGCAGCCAAGTGAACAAAATTTCCCATGGATGTCAAGTTTGGAAGCATTTTTACAGCTAATGCAGCTCCCTTCACTTTCACTTCAGTGTCTGCCAACAACAGAACTTCAAGGGTGGAGCACATGGGATTCAGTGGTAAATCTACAGTGCCATTCTGACAAAGGTAAGACAGGTAGTTAAAACTATTAAAAGCTTAGAAGCCCAATTTTCCACAATAATTTTATTGCTAAACACAACAATTCTTTACATTTTCTTTTAATACTTACAATGACACCTTCAATATTAATATTTCTAGTCTTTGCAGAATATACCAGAAGATGGGCAAATTCCATACAATTAATTCGAGAACCAGTGATATCTAATAATTTCAAAAAAGAGCATGTTCTTCCTATCATTGACATTGTTGAAAATCCTTGAGCAACATTCTTCAAAATCAATTCTGTAAGTGTTTGGCAGTTCGAAATAACAATCTTTAAAATTGGCTGCAAGTGATGCACAGTTTGAACATTGATTGTATTATCGGCCATGACAAACCTGAAGAAAAGAAAAAAATTGAAATTCTTCTTGCTACACAAACAATAGTTGTGTAGTAGTACTAACAGGAAAAGAAGGTTGTTGAAAATAAAATCCAACCACTCAATGTTGACAAATACAGCTCCATTCCTACCTTTATCTGTCATAAAAATTGGATGTTTGCAATACTTCTTTGAGATTTGTTTATTGTCAGAAACAACACAGTAAAAACTGTAGGTGATGTAGGGGCAAGAAATATAATCACACATTTTCTGAACCTGCAGAAACTCTACCCATCTCTTCTACCAAACACAATTGTATTATGAATAAAGCGACCAACAAATATGGTTCGCAACATTTGAAAACTAGAAATATTCACTCCTGAGTATATATTTTTAATATATCCTGAGAAATATATTTGCATCATCAATCGAACTACAGATCTGATTTGATAGTATTGCTGTAAAATAACAACCCCCTTGCCATTACTTCTCCTTGAACTGTCCGATCATGCATATAGTGAAGCAATGTTTACAATTCAGAAGCAAAACGAGTGACTGTCTCAGCATTTACCCAAAGGATCAAGGGAAACTAGATGAAAATGTGATCCGCATGAGAGTCATTTATCTATAAGGTGAAGTACAAAACCTGTTATGGGTATCTTTTAGAATAATAAAGTACAAATGGCAAATAATGCATTTAAATCATTATTAAAATGCATATCATGATTATTTTTTATGGTCTACATAGTCTCCTTCATAGGGAACAATTGTATAGAAACAGTAATGTAGCAGAAAATATTTTACTAGACACTGAAACCTGTGTATCAAATTTAATTGTTTAATGTCATCTGCCAATGTTATGTAAAATTGCGTACATGTATTATACAGAAATTTCTTGTAGTAAGCCATTTATGAATATGATTTCTACGTGTTGATAGTATTGACGTGTTGATAGTGTTGATAGTTGATAGTATTTGCTATGGATGAAAATATGATCCCACCCTTAAGTAAGTCAGTTTTGACCAACCTACTAATTCATAAATAATTGAGTAAGGCAATGGCAGCACTCCAAGCTAAGTGACGAGAAGCTATTAGGAATCATGTGAATGCCATACGCTAATTATCCAAACAAAATGTCCTGCAAAGAGTGGTTAGTATAAGGTGTGTTCCCCCAGAATACCTCAGGATTGTACATTCACAAACTGCACATAACTCATTTGAACATGATGAACTTAATTTAGTGTTCTCTTTTATTCTGCTTCTTGTACACGAGTGCTCCATTTGAGATTTGACTGAATTGAGAGATCCAAACATTTTATTATTTTAACTTCAGCTGAATGCATTCTGTTAATTTTCAATGGGATATGCAACTGCGTGTTTGAAATGTAAAGCTGCACTGCAAGTTGTTTTTTTTCCACTTACTATTCAGTTGTTATTATGAAACCAATTTGAAACATCCAAAATTGTACTTCTTATAGCTACTTTTTTTGCTGTGAATATTTGTAACATTAACAAAAATAAGTGTTTTGTTTTTATCTGAAAACAGCTTACCCTTTATGTTGGAAGAAAGAGGACAGGACCTAAAATCAAACCTTGCAGGACCCCATGCTCTATGTAATGAATTATAAAGTAAATAAAATAATGTTATTTTATGGCTGTGTATTATTCCTACTCTGAGATTTATGTTTAATGTATGAAGACACTCAATTTAAAAATGCAATATGCAGGCAATTTTATGGAAAATATCAAATTCTTTCAAATTATAAAAATATTCTAATAAGTGTTTTATTTTATCTATTAATGAAACAACATCTTTAAGAAAAGAAAATATAGCCATCGCAAAAGATTTTGATTTTATAAGTCCATGTTAATAGTTTCAAAGAGTATTTTTGTGACAAACATTAAAAGACATCACTACTAACTTATCTATTAGTCCAACTCACAAGACACACAGAGAAATAAAAATCAAAAGAATGCTTTCATGGAATTACCCCAAGCTTCTGAATGAAAATGACAGACAAAAATTTTCAAGGCAATTGTTTTCTGTCTGACCAAAATTAACAAACCAGAGTTATTTTGTAGACAAAAAAAAAATACAAAACTACTGTTGTAAAAATTGTATTATTCCCACTGAATTAAACTTTCATTATGGATTTATCATATATGGCCATTCAAACATCAAAATTGGAAAATTATTTATCAACTTATTATTAATAGAATTGAAAACATTTAAAAGTTTTGTTTGCCTTTCTTTTTTTTCTTCTATTTGTCTATGCTGCATCACAAAAATTATATTTTTTGTGAAGAAAACTATTTATCACAAGGAATAAATTTATAATGGACCATTCATGAAGACAAATTCCACAATCCACTTTATTACCTCTTGAGTCCTGTACACTTTTTCATTACAATTGGCCAGATAGGAGAAACAAGGCTAGCATGCGCCTCATCTCTGAATTCAAGTGTTTTAACATCCTTGTTTAAAACTATGGCAAGAAGACTAACACATATGTCTTGTTGAGATAAAGCTGAACCAGAAGTTGCATTTAATACCCTAAAGAATGAAAATACAGACAATTTAAGGTTATTTAATTTATCATGAAAGATTATTGTATCGTATTACAAAAACTGATTTGGAAAAACTTACTCATTTGTGATATGCTGTCGTACACTCTCATTCAATAGTGGAGGTAAGATATCCAGGTAAGATTCCAACTCCTTTTCCAAAGTTTGGGCATTGAGACCTCGTCGCCGCAACAACAAAGAACTTTTCTGATATTTTTTGACTTGAGTACAAAACAAACACTCTCTTGTAAGATATTGAACAATTTCGTTTAAACACAATTCCTCCAAAGTTTTTGGAGCCAGCAGTCGACGGGGAGGCATATTTTTCCTCGTAGAACTTGACTAATTAACTCAATAAATAACAAATATATAGCACGTAGATATATGACAATATATATGTATATATACAAGGCTTCAGTTAAGTGCAGTATCTATATAATTAATTGTCGCTTTCATTATACTTCGTACGCACCCTCAGCATAACAAATAAAAGGTAAATAGAATTTAATCGAAATAATTACAAATAGGCATTAACACATATCGCCGGTTTAATTCACCAATTCAACTCAAACCGACACCACCTGTTCGCACTACTGTCCGGAAAATTTGTCAACAATTGCCAACATTGCCGGATGAAATCGTTTGGAGCGAATAAGAAACAAACAGATTTTCGATTTTTCTCAATTTTTTGTCATGATTTAATACTTCTTTTAAAACATGAATCTAAAATTTAAAACATGATAATGAATTGTTTTAAGGGAAAATTAAATCCACAATTATTAGATAAATAACCTTTTCATTTCAAATGTTTGTGACTGGAAAGGAGAACAATTGTTTTGCTGCAGGCACTTCGATTCAATGCCACCTAAATCATGTACTATCTAGGAGGTACTGCTTTGATTGATGAAGAGCAGTTCTGAAAATGTTGTTTAAACAACATTCAAGAAAACGCCACTACTATAGAAAATATTTTCACGTGTGAATGATAGAGAATTTTTAACATTGATGATATTTTGATGACAAATAACTGTTTCACGTGCAAAAGATAGAGAATGTGTTTTCTTCAACGTTAATAGAACAAAAACTAACAAATTTCTACGTGTTTTAAAACTAGCATACTACATACAGCATTCAAGAATGGCACTCTAGAATAGAAAATATTTCAACATGTGAACTATTTGCCTCTAAGAAAGCCTACGAAACTATAGACAATTGAATATTTTATGATATTTCCAAAGGCATATAACTATATCTGTTTTCTTAAACTTAAAATGAATGAAAAGTAATAAAATTCTAATTGTTCTGAAGTAATAGCATACACGTAATAAATCAAGAATTCGCATCAGGGATCGAAAATATTTTCACGTGTGAATGATAGAGAACTTTTATTTTATATCTGATGGCAAATACCTGTTTCTGTAGAGTATTTTACTTTAAACGAATGAGAACTAACAAAATTCGAATTGTACTGAAACAGTAGTATACACACAACATTCAAGAATTCTCGTTTAGGAGAGAACATATTTTAACGTGTAGACGATAGAGAGTTGGATCATTTATAATATTTCCAAAGTAAAAACTCTGTTTCTGTGTTCTTAAACATTAAACGAATAAAAACTAACAAAACCCTAATTGTTCTAAAGCTGTAGTATTCGCCTGTAGAATAGAAAATATTTTCACAAGTGAACGAATGATAATTGGATTTTTTATATTTCAAAACACATATACATTCGCATATACACAAAACATTAAAGAATTCTACTCAGGGTAGCAAATATTTTCACGTGTGAACGATAGAGAATTGGATCTTTTATGATTTTTCTCAAGTTTAGAGGAGTGGAAGTCCATGACAAACATAAAAGAGGAGAAAAATTCCATTCCCACCTTTTTCTTTTGTCCCCTCCACAGTAACCCTGTGAAGAAGGGGAATTTATTATCTATGAATGTTTTTATATTATGCTGCTGCCTTGCGGCTTAAGCAGCAACAGGCGGGGCTTTTTCTTACAACTAATTTACAATCTAGACCTAAAGTTATCTTAATTGCACTTTGGCATTACTAACTTACACTAAAATCATTTTTGAAATTCTATTTTATATATTCTACGTAAATTGTATTGTGTATTGTTGGTAAATTGTTATTATTATTATTTTCTACATTTACACATCATTCATACTAGTTTCATTATATACATAACCATTTATTCGCACTTCACGCTTCTTCACTTCCCAGTTCACTGCACTGTTCGCTACGGCACTGACTTGACTCAAAGTGTCCGTGGCGCTCGGGCCCATTGGGAGGCGTGGC